GAAAAATATCCATGTTCAAAACGTAATAATCACTTTAATCTAGCTTGCGCCAACAGTTGTACACGGAAGCAGCTCCGGGAGGATGACGTAAGAAGTCGCCGTTGCGCATGCGTCGGTGAGTCTCGTGAAAACCAATGTTTGTTTACAGTAGCAAAGGAAGCAAAGTTTCCTTACTTTAGCAAAGGAAAACCAGTCTCCTCTTGGCTTATATCGAAATCCTCTGACATGGAAGATGGCGCGGTCAAGAGCAGGGCTGTTCCTTTCACTCCTATGGAGTTAAAAAACAATCTCTTCAGGATATCTTGAATGAATAAAGACACAAAAGAAAAGCTTGGGGTGTTTGATGGAGAATATGTTAGATCCGTTTTAAGGGCCGAAATAGCCGGGCCATTTTTAACTTAAGCTATGCAGAAAAAATTCTGTTGCACAATGGTGCTTCGCTTTCACATACCTTCGCTGTGTTTCACTACATCCTTGTAAAACATCATTCCTATTAAAATCAATCAATTGTGTGTGTGTATATGCACATATAAATATAAGTATTATATACAGAAGTATTGACTAAGTTAATTATGAAATAGAAAGTCATTACTATAAGTCAAAATCATATCTATGATCATGATCCAATGAAATACCATGTAATGATTTTGAGATAAAAAGTCAAAATTATGACATACTCCCCCGGTTTCACAGACAAGGCTTATGCCTAGTCCCAGACTAAAATGTAATGAATTCGTCTGAAAGAAGAAAGTCATATACACCTAAGAGGCCTTGAGGATGAATAATTCATGGGCTAATTTTCTTTTTTGGGTGAACTAACCCTTTAATCGGTACTGGTCACAAAAAAAAATATTGCACAATACTTTTATGCTATTAAAGCTATTAAAAAGTTAGCTATTAAAAAAATGAATGGATTGGTTCTCACCTGTCAGTCTTTGGAGGAGCGGTTCTTTGCTTGTTCACTTTTGCATAAAGCCCCTCTAGCGCGTCCTCATTGGGTGGCTCCCTGTTGGGGGCGGGGAGAGTAGGCTGACTGTAGTTATGGGTGGGAGTTCCAGGTGGATAGGGGGAGTGGCTGGAGGCGGGAGGTTCTCTGAAATTGTTGATGCGAGCATAGTTGGGATCCAGGTCATCGTCTTCGACGTCCGGGAAGATGGCGCGGTCAAGAGCAGGGCTGTTCCTTTCACTCCTATGGAGTTAAAAAACAATCTCTTCAGGATATCTTGAATGAATAAAGACACAAAAGAAAAGCTTGGGGTGTTTGATGGAGAATATGTTAGATCCGTTTTAAGGGCCGAAATAGCCGGGCCATTTTTAACTTAAGCTATGCAGAAAAAATTCTGTTGCACAATGGTGCTTCGCTTTCACATACCTTCGCTGTGTTTCACTACATCCTTGTAAAACATCATTCCTATTAAAATCAATCAATTGTGTGTGTGTATATGCACATATAAATATAAGTATTATATACAGAAGTATTGACTAAGTTAATTATGAAATAGAAAGTCATTACTATAAGTCAAAATTATATCTATGATCATGATCCAATGAAATACTATGTAATGATTTTGTGATAAAAAGTCAAAATTATGACATACTCCCCCGCTTTCACAGATAAGGCTTGAGCCTAGTCCCAAACTGAGCTGTTTTAACTGAAAAAATTGCACTGACATATCTTAAAATATATCAGTGCCATTGTTTTGTCTCAAGATGCACACCAGTAATGTTTTTTTAAAGAATTTAAAAAATTCGCTATTTCTATATTTCTACATATTTACTAATAGTATGTCGGAATTTTAATGTTTTATCTCATAATGACTTCTCATAATTATGACTCAGTATGTCATGATTATGACTTCTTTTTGCGGAAGGGTTAAACATCCAAAAACAAGTCACTTAAACATATATGATTGAGTTTTAATATGTTTTGCTTTATTAGATCATTAGTCTTGAGTCTTTAATTACTATGAACAGAACAACCAATTAAACCAATAGGGCAATTATCATGAGTTCAGAACTGGTTTAATCATTTCTACAGCTTCAGACTGATACATTTGCATATTCTTCTATTTTATAATTGAACTTTGTGGATGAAATAATACGTGTTATGTAAGTGGTGAACATACTTTGACAGAAACATCTCAGGTTCACTCTTGTCCACCTCCTCTTCGCTCAAAGCTCCCAGTTCTTTAGCCTTGGATTTGTTTTTTCTCCCAAACCTGGATGAGGGTTTGAAGAAAGCGAGGATGGAAAGAAAGAAAGAGCACAGACAAAGAGAGAAAAGGTGAGGATGTGTTATGTTTTCAGTAATGAATGACTCAACAGATTCCCTGTGCTTCCAAGTACCAAAGCAGAATTTGCTCTAGAAGATCTAATGATTGTACCATGTACCAGCCTGCAAACACACACACACACACGCCTGCAAAACCAAGCAGTATCAGTGTCCAATGCCCTGCAGTGATTTCTCTAGCCCATCTCCACGCCAAACCTTCAGAAACTCACATATTCTTCTGCTCTGATCTGAGGTCAGGCGGGGTCTCTGTGCTGACAGGCAGATAAAGACAGAAGAGGAAAAGGTTATATCAAGAATAAAGCTAATAATTATAGAGAGTGGGTGAGATGATCACACGATCTCAGGCCAGTGAGGCCGTAATGAAACATCAGTGGCAGTTGTAAAAAGAAACAGCTTCTGGATCACTAACTGGACGATCAATGTGAAACTCATGAATAGTTGCTTAGTAGTATTACTCTTCTTCTACAATAAAATCCAACCAAAAAGTAAAAAACTATTTAAAAAAAAGAATATATTGTTTTAGGAACATTACTTTATTTATTTATTTTTTGCATTGTGATATTCTTTTCATGATATTTAAGCACATTTCCCCCTCAAAAATAAAATAAAATAAAATAAAATAATCAGGGTTTCCAAGTTTCCAGGACTTCCTGCAGGGGTCCATAAACGGATATATAAAACAAAGAATTATAATATTTAGAATATTCTATATTTTATTGTATTAATTTAATTAAGTTCAATGAATAATACAATGATGCAAACTTACAATTCTACTTTACCAATAGTATATAAATTAAATATTATTTAATATTAATATATTTTTAAAATATTATTATAATACAATTATAAAAAAATATATTAAAGCATTTATATTATGTAAATGTTTAATATTGTGAAATATAAATTTGCAAATATGTGACCCTGGACCACAAAGCCAATCATAAGGGTTGTTAGGATAGGACAATATTTGGCTGAGATACAACTATTTGAAAATCTGGAATCTGAGGGTGCAAACAAAATCTAAATACTGAGAAATACTGGCCTTTAAAGTTGTCCAAATGAAGTTCTTAGCAATGCATATTACTAGTAAAAAATTAAGTTTTGATATATTTACGGTAGTCAATTTACAAAATATCTTCATGGAACATGATCTTTACATAATATATTAATGACTTTTGGTATAAAAGAAAAATCGATAATTTTGACCCATACAATGTTTTTTTGGCTATTGCTACAAACATACCCCAGCGACTTAAGACTGGTTTTGTGGTCCAGGGTCACATATTATAAAAATAATTTATATGTAAATATTATTATTTTGCATTACAGCACTAAGAATTTAATTGTATTGCATTATCAAAGGTAACTGCAGAAATTTGGGGTGGAGGAAAATGTGTTCAATTTTCATGTCACAAAATGCAAAAAAAATCTTAATGGTCCTAAAATAGGCTTATTTTCATTATGAAAATATATAATCTTTTTTTTTTTGTTCATGTGAAAAACGACCTGAACATTTCTTGACGGTTTTCATGAGATTCACCCTGATAAACACACATTTGAATAACAATGACAGATGTGCAATGTCTATTAACAAATGAGTATTCAATTACATTTCCACAAACGCACACTCTAGTCAGGAATAATCACAAACCTCGGCTCCCAAGATTCCTAAATTTCTTTTTAATTTGACACAGATATCACCGAGGCTTCAGTTTACCGACATAACAAATATGCATGTTTGCTCAAGACAAGCCGTGACTACATGATCCAAACACTGGCCCACGAGCGATTCAAGGGTCCGGTTGGATCCAGCATCCTCTTGCCGTGTCTCCTGTGCGTTATGCCTCAAGAGTACTCCATTTCCCAGCCCCACACACGCACTAATGACTGTATTTATCTCATTAGGCTGGAGCGATCTAATACCGGCAGCTGGCATGCTAGCTCTGCCTTGCCCTTAAGCACTCTCATTAAAACCAGAGGGAGTCGTGGCCTGAATATCAATGTGCCGTCCTGCTCAATCCAAGTGAGCGCAGCACCGGTCATCACGCAACACAGAGCTCATGCAACTCTACTTGATTACCGGCCACTTGACATTTGTCATTGTGAACATAACACAGTACAGAGTGACCTGATCCTTCTGAAAACTGACCATACTAACTGCAGTTTGCACAGTTATTATTGTAAAACATAACAAATAATATGGGATCTACAATGGTATGTACAAACAAATTACTTTACATGTCATATCTGTTGGTTCTTGGCCATAATAAGCTGTAAATAAGACCAACCTTCATGCTGACAGTCAAAAGTCTGGTTAAGCGAGACTGGAGTAGCTAAGCACTGGGTTTCCTGACACCAGTTTGCAATTCAGCCTATGTGTCTTGAAAACCCAGCTGATAACTCAATCTACCTGAAGCCTGAAGCGTTCAGGTGGATTCGATTGTCGTAGTAAATGTGAAACATGCTCTTGGAAGCTGATTACACTTCTAAGAGTTGTCAGCATAAGGTTGAAGTATGTAGCCCAAGGTAGCATACTAACAGTTTAATACGGCCTAAATTGAGTTTGCAAAGTGAATTAGCATTACTTTGGTTGTTAACCTGAGATTAAGATGGTCTATGTAGCTCTTGGGAGACTTAAAATTTAGGCGGTGGAAATTACAGGCTAACATTAAGGGCGAAGATGGTGTGAAATCAGACAAAACGACAGGAATGTTGATGAGAATTGTGCGCGCTGTAATTACAAGTCTAAAACCCAATTATGCTGTAATGTAACCTACAATACTGAAGCCGTCTTCGTAAAGAGCTTTTTCTCTGGCTTTGTGCTAGCAGCTCTTGGTTTATCGATTGACTCAACTTTACTGAGTGTTGCAATTTATCAGTCTAAACCGGAGGCTAATATTTCAGCAGACAAAACCTCAATTTTCACACAAACAGACGGCTGATCCATGGGAACTGGGGACGTACTGCTAAGCTGATCATTATGTTTGCATATATTAATGCCTGTTTCTCCCCTGCCTGGTTTTAAGAATCTTTCTAATTAGGTAAAACTGTCAGGAATGTCTGTACAATTTTTTTAAATGTTTTTGAAAGTCGTTTCTTCTACTCACCAAGGCTGCAATTATTTGATCAAAAATGCAGTAAAAAGAGTAATATTGTGAAATATTATTACCATTTAAAATAACTGTTTTCTATTTGAATATATTTTAAAATGTAATTTATTCCTGTGATACAAAGCTGAATTTTTAGCAGCAAATACTCCAGTCTTCAGATTTGCTGCTCAAGAAACATTTCTTATTATCAATGTTGAAAACAGTTGTACTGAAACATACTTACGTAAAGCATGATGCATTTTTTTCAGGATTCTTTGATGAAAAAACAGTTAAAACAGCATTTAATTATTGTTACTTTCAAAATACTTGCTGAATAAAAGTGTGTGTGTGTGTGTGTGTGTGTGTGTGTATATATATATATATATATGTATTTAGGGTCACGGTTCGATATGAGTTTGGTACAACAGGAAAAAGCAACAAAGCCCCAATGCTATTTTTTTCCATTTATTTTAAACAGACAGTAGTGCTACACACTAGGGTTGTGCCGATAGATGATAGTATCATGTATCGATGATAGCTTTTGTCTATGTCGATAGTCAAGACAATATTACAACATTCTCCTATTAATGTATTAAATTATTATTATTATGATTATTATTAGGCGGCCTATTATTATTTGGCTATTATTACCAAATTGCCCTGCTATTTCATTTCAGCACCGCACTTCACACGCACAAATTAGGATTAGGCTTCTCGTCCTCGTTGGAAATGTTTTAAAAACAGACTATAAAACTAAGCCCACATCAAAATTGAACCGCAAGGTGATAAACCTATATTTTACAAATTATGTCAATAGTGCTAAAAGAGACATTTTTCTTGAACAGCTGTATGAATGAACATGCCGAAAACTGCATCGTCATCAGCATTTCGTTTTCTTTACAGCACATTATCAAAAAATATTGATGCTTATTCTTCATCATCGTTATTATAAAAATATGCAGATAAGTTATCAGTCTTAACAGGGCTCGTCATGGGGTGCGCGGTCCGAAGCGCTGTATGACTGATGTTTAATTTAACTTTACTCCAAATATATGAACTTACCTGTTTTAAATACTTTTATATTTAACGTGTTCGTTTATGTCCAATATTTAGTGTTAAACTGTTGGTCTTTAAAATAAATCTACTTTTGATTTTCACCGTTGACTAATTTTGCAGACCTTTTAGACTGATAACTTTCGTGCGCTGATGCAGCAAACTTGTCACAGGACGTGCGGTCCTAATAGCGATGTATGACTGTTGTATCCGAATATACTGTATATGAACTAGCTGTTTTAAATATTTTTATATTTAACATGTTACTTTATCAGTATGTTTGAAAGTGTATTATTTCGATTACTGGTGCTTCCATAGGCTCTCTCTCTCTCGCACATGCGTTTAAAAAACAAATAGTTATGAAATAGCCTATGACAAGTACAGAGAGTCTCTCTCTTGCCCCACCCACGCACGATAATATGCACGATAATATTGGAGAGGCGATCTCACAAGCTGGCGATATGACGATATAAAAAATGACGCCCAACACTACTACACACATGTAGCATGAGCAGTTGTTTTTGATTTGAATTAGATTATTATGTAATTTCAAGATTTAAACCAAAAACAGTATGGTCTGACTTTTGATTTAAGAAATTATGCTACATAAGACACCTGCACAAAACAAAAACAGCAGCAAGGCTGAATGAAAATGCAAATGTATTCTCTGACAGCAGGTGGCGCTTATGGAACAGCAACGATACAGCGTTTCCTTGGTTACCACTGTAAACAAAGCAGCACTGTGATTATGAACAGTAGCCTAATCTAATGTGCATTATACGCA